CGGCAATGAGTAAGCGATGCGTGAAGCCGAGCCGCGACCGGAAGCAGCCCCTATTTGTACTCCCGTACCGCAACGATTGCGCCCACCGCACATTAATGTTAGGCATACGCACCGTTTCCGGCTGTGATTTTACCTTGCACACTTTGCAACGCGATGCGAATGAGTCTCTAGTTTCGTCATCGAGTTTTTCATCGACAGTCAATTAAACGCGATCTACTGTTCTGTGCACAATCTGATAATTATGTTATAATATTTTATTTTATAACACTTCATAAAATTTTATTTTATGAAATAATTAATCGGATTGTACACAGTAATCTTTGACAATATAATTCTGTTTTATATATGTTCTGGCTCTATATTTAGGTATTATGAAGATTGTACTCGTTTAACAAAATATTACTACCTCTGTGATTAAATAATGCAGTTGATGATTTTAATATGTCCCAGAAGAAAATAAATATAGAACGTAACATTTACTATAAAAAAATAGATTAAATTAAACAATAAATTAAAAATAGTGTTCGTAATTTTTATTTTGGGTGTTCACAGACAGTTTCTGTATTTTTCAATAATTTTGTTACTACATTTTGGACTTATAGGTAAGATCCCTTGCCTGCGAAGTTTTGCTTTCCCTATATATCGTTTTTCTTTTGATGCACCAAGAATTGGACAATCATAACTCGATCTTTGCTTGAAAATTCCTTTTTTAATTTTAATTTTACAATAAGTTGATATTCAACTGAAGTAAAATGATTGATTTCGATCAGCGGATGAAACTAGAAAAATAATTAAAATTCGTAATAATTAGATAAACCAAAAAATGGAAAGATGTGTCGAAACAAATGACAGATGTCATGAAACACTGATTTTGATCGAAAGCTTCGCAATTTTGCGCTACATCATAACTTACAGCTGCATTCGCCAATAATTCCCGTTTAAATGTTCGCTTGCTGCTATTATTATGGGACAGAGTTGTTATTACTATACAGTACATAAGTAAATTACATTTAAAAGAGTGCAAAAATATTCGTACTCGTTACTCACTATCATGACCATTAAAGTTTATTTGACAAATACTTACTAGGAACGGTTAGAACTTTACAGCGCACGTATCGATTCCCAAGTTCGTTTAAACAGAAGGTCCTACCGAACGGGGAGTGGCGAACGGAAATTTCTGAAAGTTCCGCGACGAAATATCCACAATAACTTTGCTGAAATCGTTCGGCCAGAGGGTAACCGATTGCCATTTGAGAGAAAAAAATTCTGTATCGGTTATAGATAGGTTCAATCGTACGTAATCGTTTTGCGAAACGCGTTAACGCGTGTTACGAACGGTACGCCGCGCGCCGTTATTGCTTCTGACGCGGTATAAACCGCAGAATTTATACGCAGTTTCCTATATGCAAATGAACGTCGCGTACGAAGCTTCGAGCTTTTAATCGTGACCCGACCGGCTTAACCGCTCGGCGAATTTCGTCGACGCGTCCGACATTGAAACCGTTTCCATGTAATGCTCGAGGATCGAGTCGTCCTACATTCGCCGGCACCGATCATTTTCAACAGATACAGAAACATTTTTTATTCTCCGCTTGTTCCACTGTACGTCTCTCGCGCTCAAGACTGTTAACATCGTCGAACAGCCAGCGGCTCGATTTCAATTGTAAGTACATTGTTTGTGAATTTTACGTCACTTCCAACTGTTTAATAC